GCGGGCCCCTGGACCCCGTGCTGCCCGCCCTTCAGACGCCAGCGCGGACCCTGCAGGCTGCGCTCGCCGCCCTCGCGGTCCTCCCCTCCGATCGCGTTTTGCCTGTGTTTCGCTGCATGAAACTGCTGGTTCCCCAGGTAGGGACAGTGAGCCAGGGGTTAGGGAATGACTAGGCTGATACCGTTCCTGAAGCTTCGTGATGGTCATGTATTTCTTTTTCTTTCCTTACCAGCTTCTGGCCTCCTCTGAGTCAGTCTGCATAGAGGCCTTTGACGTGGCTTGGAAAATTATATCGACTCTAAGCAACACTCAGCTGGTGTTCTGGTCCAACTTAAAAGCTTTTGTTCAGTTTGTTTTTGATCCCAAAGTTCTTACCATTGCTGCAAAAACCAAGGGCCAGGCATATTTCAAAATAAAAGAGGTAACTTTCTTTTTATTGGGGTAAAAAATACATAAAACTTCCCATCTTAACCACCCTGAAGCATATGACCTGCCAGCCCTGCTCAGCTCAGCCCTTTCCTGGCCCCGCACACACCGTGGGGCCCAGGGCTTTGCTGACTCGGGAAGGGAGGCCACTGACAAAATGCAGAGAAGCCAAAACTGTGTGGGGGGAGGTATTTTTCCCTCCTTTTCTCTCTGTGGATGGTGCTTCCTGTGGAAAGTTCTAGGTCAGTGATGGCGAACCTATGACACGCGTGTCAGAGGTGACACGCAAAATCATTTTTTTGGTTGATTTTTCTTTGTTAAATGGCATTTAAATATATAAAATAAATATCAAAAATATAAGTCTTTGTTTTACTATGGTTGCAAATATCAAAACATTTCTATATGTGACACGGCACCAGAGTTAAGTTAGGGCTTTTCAAAATGCTGACACGTCGAGCTCAAAAGGTTCGCCGTCACTGCTCTAGGTGAATTCACCACCAGTGACATCTTTTTACTGAGAAATGAAAATGTGTAGTCTGTGATTGCTGAGCATCTTGCAAAGTTCTAATGATAAAGAATTTTTAATTTTTTGACTGTCCATGCTTATGTGGGACCTACCATTTGAAGCCATTCCCAGTTTCTAGCAACAGTAATTTTTTGGAAACAAAACAACTAACTTGGTCCAAGGGTACAATGACCATTGTTTTTCATTTCAGATTATGCACCAGATGATTGAAATGTCGGCTGTAAAAACCGGAGTCTTCAATATACTGATAACTCACTGCTGCCAGTCGTGGGTAGTTCCTGCTCCAGACGTGTCCCAGGGGTCTTTTTCAAATGCTGCCGATTACAGCGAGCTGCTCCTGGAGGCTTGTGTGTTTGGAACTGTGTTTAGGCGGGATCAGAGGTAAAGCTGTCATTATTTCAGCCTGTCCTCACATTAAGTACCTACATGGGCAGGCTTGTTTTTATTTGAGGCTTTCAATGAGCGGAATACAAAGTTTTAGCTCATTTAAATTTGGGACCTTAATTTTTTTTTTCTGTCTAAAACATGTTCTTTGTTTTTTATGGGAAGACTCATTCAGGACGTACAGACCTTTATTGAAAATCTTGGACATGATTGTGCGGCAAATGTTGTTATTGAAAAGTAAGTATGAGGATTTCTCACATCTTATGAATAGGATATTCACAATTTAACATCACATGAGAAGCATTCTGTGCTTGTTAAATTTTTTAAAATATATTGTTATTGATTCCAGAGAGGACGGGAGAGGGAGAGAGAGGTAGAAGAATCAGTGATGAGAATCATTGATGGGCTGCCTCCTGCAGGCTCCCCACTGGAGATGAGCCCACAACCCGGGCATGTGCCCTGACTGGGAATTGAACTATGACCTCCTGGTTCCTAGGTTGATGCTCAACCACTGAGCCACCCGGGCTGGGCGACAGTTCCACTTATTTTATCTTCCCACATTCGGACACTGAACGTGCTGGGATATAGTTTGCCCTTCACATAGAGAACATGCTGGGGTAGGACGGAGGAGCCACTGCGGCATGGGAGGCGGAGTCTTGCCCCCGAGTGGACAGAGCTGTTCATGGTCCTCACTCAGGAAGAGCTCCATGAGCTCTGACCTGTTTTGTCCACAGACGAGGTATTGCCGGCCCAGGACCGCTGTGCGTGTGACTTCCTGCACAGGCACTCAGTGACCCATCCATCTGTTACCTTCCACTGTCCGTCCTGAGTTACAGAGCACTGCCCTCAAGTGTGGGCCCACGTAGTTTGAGAGACCTTGGGGAGGCTTTGACATTTGTTATGTTGTCTTGAAGCTAATAATTGAGGTACTTTTATGTTGTGAACATGTGTTAACACAGACTATCATCTCACACTTTTAGTACCAAAAGAGAGGACCACTATGTCAGAGTTTGTGCTGTCAAATTCCTGTGCTTGTTAGATGCCTCCAGTGCGTCCCATAAGGCGTTTATGGAAGACCTTGCCATCAAGCTGTTAGAGAAAGTAAATGTGTTTGGTTTTTGTTACTTTAAAGCATCTTTGTTTTTGTATAGTTAACACGTCAAAATCCAGTATTTGCTCTTTTTGTTGACAAAATGTTTCTAAATATTTTTATCAAAAAACCCCTGAGATTTATGTTCCATATTTCTAGTTAAATCTGTGATTGTCCATCTCAAGTTGCTTTTGAGAACAATGTTTCCTGTACTCTAACCTTCCCTCCGTGTGTTTTCCGGAACCAGTCAAAACCAGTTAGGTTTAGTGTGATGTATCCGTCCATTGTTTTATGTAAGAAATAGAGTAAAACGCTAAAAATTATGGCTAGAAGCTGCCATAATGCAAAGAATGTATTTTTTGAACCTGCAGAATTATTTATGATGAGCACCGCACTGTCTGCAGGAGGGATTGTGCAGGAATTGGTGCCTTGAGAACCATGTCCAGTATCTGTCTCCCCCTTCACCAGCCACAGAGGAGGAAGGAGGCTTCTCAAAGACTGTGTGCTGGACACTGACATGGCTCCTTTCTGGTTTTAAAAGCAGACGAGTCAAGTACAAAATGCATTGTCGTGAAAGGAAACTAAACAAGTGTCCTCTTGTCCTTCCTGCCGGTTGGAGAGCCAGGGGCTGAGTTTGAAGCTGTGGTTGATGTTTCATCAGCCACAGATTCAGCGGGTGATCCCATGTTGACCCCCACCCAGGAGGCACTGGTGTCCTCGTCCAGGACGCGATGCTACGTGAACTCCCAGCAGCACCGAGTGCAAAACCGAGTGTGGCAGATCCTGCTCGTGCTTTTCCCCCACTTCGACCAGGTGAGTGGTCCCTGCAGTTGTACCTTTAGCATAAGGGCTCCGTGTGAATAAACTGTGCAGTGGAGGCTGTCATGTTGCTCTTTGAAAACGAGGAAGTAATCTGCTTAGCACTTACATATACTTCAGTTCTTAAAAGTGAAGTCACTCAGAACACTCTTTAACGAAGAATGCGAAGGCAGTTAGGGATTGTGGAAATAAGCCAGAAACTGGTTACCTGACCCAGTGACGATTCTTCCCTTCCGTACTTTAATGTGATGCTGTAATGTTTAAAGTTTCATATGCCACTTGGTTAGAGAGCCCGCCAGCCCCCGATCCTCGGCAGCTGGTTGCGTGGAGGGTGCCTGCTGTGGGCTCCGTACTGCGGACACCACGGTGGCGGCGTCTAGGAAGTAGTGACCAGTGAAGGTGGGACCAAACCAGGTCTAACCCAGACGCACGCTCCACTTTACAGCCCAACACGGGGGCTGAAATGAGCTTTTCTGCTCTTAAAAGATACATTCTTCTTTAAAATAAATACACATAATACATACATTTACACGAGGAGATGATGCTTTCTACCTGCTACTGAGCAACGTTCAGTTACCCGCAGGAAGTGCGGTTCTGAAGAGAAGGATGGGGCGCGGGGGAGGACTGTGGGGTCAGAGTCTCGCCCAGAACTGGGCAGCTGTGGGGCAGGCGGATGGGCAGTTGTCCAAGGAGATGGGGGCCGGCCTGCTCCCGCTGGGCCCCGTCTGCCGCCCGCTGACTTGGGCATCTCGTCACATCTTGATCTCAGTCCGGCCGCTTACCGGATGTATGGCTTGGAGACAGTCACTTACCCTTCCTGAATCTTTTCTGTTCCCTGTAAAAATACCGAGAATAAAAACCTTCCTCACAGATGGATGTCCAAGTAAAACGTGAACTGTCAGTAAAAGTGCCTCATTATTATGTCTGTCAACAGTTTTTAAGGCCATTGTTTGCAGAGTGGTGGATCCAAGAGTTACTTACAATGAGACTTTAAGCTGTGTTTTTTTAGCAGTATTTTTTAGTGCATTTTTAAGGTTAAAATTAATAACCAGTTTCAGAGTTGCTAAAAGACTAGTTCTTAATTGTTCCTACCACAAAAAAAGAAATAATTATGTGATGTGATAGAGTTGTTAGTCAATGACACGGTGGTAATCGTATTGTGATATGTCAATGCATCGAGTCAACATTTTTATCCCTTAAATTTATACATTGTTATATGTTAGTTATATTTCAGTAAAAATAAATTTAAGACCATTAGTAGCCATAACACAATTTAATTTTATTTTTCTCAGAATTTCTTGAATAGAATCATTGACAAGATCTTTCAGGCTGGTTTCATCAACAACCAAGCATCCATCAAGTATTACATCGAATGGATTATTATACTGATTCTTCACAAATTTCCTCAGTTTCTTCCCAAGTTCTGGGATTGTTTTTCTTGTGTAAGTAAAGGAGATTTCTTCCCATTTTTTTGAACTAACAAAAGATGTGGCCTGTGCTGGGAGACTGTTTCACTTCCATTAGTTGCTGCTTCACTCTCAGTTGCCCTGGCCCAATGTGTTGACATCCTGGGTTGTGTTTGGAATTAACTGAAGAGACAGACATGCCTGGCTCACCCTGAGAGCTCGTCTGCTCGAACAGAAAACGATGGAAAGGCTTTTGTTAGTAAGAAGGGAAATAGGTCAGTGCTGCAGTCTTACTTACCAAGTGGTATCTGATCTTAGAAATAAGAATAATGAAGAATTAAGTGTACTCCTTACACTTTAAAGACATTTCCAGTGGGTAAATTTTAGACATCACCGAAGTCGCAGCTTTAATGAGAATCTTCAGGGTTTCTCTCTCACCCAGCTGGGAACAGACGTCAGTTTATTCCATTTTTATCATGTCCTTGCTCATTTTCCTTGGACTTCTCTCTAATTCCCCCCCCCCCCCCCCCCCAGCATTTCCTGCATCCGAATCATCTCTAAGGAGTTGATACAGGATCGTGATGGGTTACGGTGCAGGCCTCTGCTCTCAGTCGGCCGTACTCGGTCTCTTCTTCACCAGATGCCCCCACGGCTGCTAAAGTAACTCGTGTCCACCCTCTGTATATGGAGCTGCCTCCCGAGCTCTGTCCCTCCTGCAGTCACCCCCTCACGGTCACAGTCAGGCTCCTGAGAGTCCGATTTCCACACTGAGTCCCTGCCTCGCAGCTGGCTGGTTGCCATGTATTGGCATTTGGTTCTGCACCTGGGCTGCAGCTGTGAAGGGAGAGACTGCCCCCTGCTGGCCCCGCAGTGTCACATGGCACAGAAGCCTTGAATCACGGTTTATCCGATTTTTTTTCAGGGTGAAGAACACCTTAAAACGAGCATTTGTACGTTCTTATCGGTTTTGTCACATTTGGACATCATTACTCAAAACCTGCCAGAAAAGGTGAGTTTAAATTGTAAGAAGAGTTTAAACTTAACTGTCAAAATAGAACTTTTAATATTTGTCCTAGTTTTTGAAAGTGTAACGTATTCCTTATGTCTTCTGCAACTTCTCCCAGTGAGTCCAGCTGGCTACAAGCCCATCGGGCGGGCACTCTACCATATTGTTGGGTCTTTGCCTTGACCGTCAAGTTAGCACGTGGTATAGATAGGACCCTAAGTTATTTTAATTTGCACACGTGCTGGAGGGTGGGGAGTACCGCGGGGTCATGGGATCTGCCTCTGGGGACCACGTGCCAGCACGTCCATCTGTCTCGGGAGGAGGGTGGGGAGCCCGGAGCCCGTTGGGGACGCAGTGATGGGTCTCCCTGCGGTCACCCAGCCACGGCTGCTGGCCACTGAAGAAGTGATTCCTCTCTATGCAGAGGCTGGCTCTGAAGCAGGCCCTTGTCATCGCGCTGCAGTGGGGCTTCAGCCACAACTTCAGTGTCCGCCTGTACGCGCTGGTGGCGCTGAGCAAAGCCTGGGGCATGTGTAAGACGCTGCAGATGGGGGAGCTGGACGCTCTGGCGTCCGTGATCGAGTCCAGCCTCAGTCAGGTGGAGAGCACGCCGGGAGCGGGGTAAGCACACGTCGGCAGCCCTCCGGGGAGGTGGGAGAGGTGGGACGGCTATAGGCGGCGCCCTCGGCTGAGGCCACGTGGGAGCGCAGAGCCGGGTGGCAGAGCTGCGCGGCCGTTAGCTGTGCGGTGTAGTTGCAGTTCGGACTGCTGGTGGCTCCCCTGACCTTGTAGAACTGCGCCTGTGGATGGAGGGGCGCGTGAGCGGGGTGTTACAAAGCCCCTCAGGGGAGGCATCGCTTCTGCCGTGTCTAAGGCGGTGTCTCACTGCGGTATCATCACTGACCGACCACCAGGCGTGCCAGGGCTCACAGCGCCGAGGCCCAGGCCGCAGGGGTCCACGGAAAGGTCTCTCCGCACCCTCAGCGCTCTCACTGCTTTACATAAGCCAGTGCAGAGGCTGGACGCAGCAAACGGGGCGCCCGGAATGGGGATGGAATCGGTGCCATGTTGTTGGGCCTCTGCCCGACTAGGTCAGCCTGCAGCACAGACAGGGCGCTGAGTCAGCGCTTCGCCTGGTCAGACGAGAACCCCCTCCACCGTGACAGGTGCGCCAGGAACCCCAGACCTGCTCACGGAAACCTGTGGTCTGTGCGAGTTGGTACCAGTTTGGCTGAGTCTTCAGAGCAGAAAAAGGGACTTGGGCGACACTTTTCTCTCCTTAGCAGTTTATGCCAGAGACTGAGGGGTCCCCCCAAACCCCTCACACTGCTCCCTCTCAGAGCCCCTCGCCCGGCGTCTGCCAGGCACTCCAGGTGTTTCCTGTTGTCAGGTGCCCGTCACCTCGGTTGGAACTCAGGACTCTGCACCCCAGAGTGACCCCCACATGTCATTGCAGACCTGGGTCCAATTCTTGTGCGTCATATGACTTGTTCTGCATCTCATTTCAGAAGGTCAAACGCAGTGTCAGTTTCTAAAGTGTGTTGACCTTGGAGATCGAGGTGTATAGGCCTTAGAATAAAACACACACTTTTCCCTCCATTCTAAACCCTGCGGTAGGTAAGCAGGAAGGAGTCTGATTCCCCTCCCTTGCCCGTGCCTCACGGTGTTTTCCACCCTCAGGAACGCCAAGAGGAACTGGCAGCGCATCCAAGACCATTTCTTCTTTGCAGCGTTTCACCCGCTTCAGGACTACTGCCTGGAGGTGAGCGCCGTCCCGCGAATGCTCTTGTCGTTAGTCCTGACGCTTCCTTTGCCGTCGTCAGTCCTGACGCTTCCTTTGCCGTCGTCGTCGTTGAAGGGTGACGACTGGCTCACTCTCCCCCTCACCTGCTTCCCCTTCACGCTGTGAAGCTCTGCGTTTGCGGCACTGTGTGCAGACGAGCTGCCTCATTCCACGCCTCCGCAGTGAGCCTGCTAGTCACTGTCACTGTCTCTATCTCTCTCAGGTAGTCAGGCTGTACACACGGGAAGGGCAGTGTTTAACTCAACAGAAACCTGTTCTGACACTAACAGGCAGGGAGTGAGCACACTTATGCAGGTGGGATTCTGTGGTCACGAAGCCCATTGTTAAAAGAACAAGATGGACTCTTGTTAATCACCTTGTCTAGGTCCTGGGGACTGGACCTGCATAGCAGGTGATACCCCGCCTCCCGAATGTGCTCATGTAATGAACTTCAAGAACCACAGGCAGGTCTATTACAACTAGTCAGTCAATCAGCTTGATATCTAAGTGACTAAACCTTGTAGAAACGGCATTACTTTTCCTCAAAAGAACTTGGACGTCTCAGCTGCTGTGCACAGTGAACTACTCTGGTGGGTCACTGACACCCCGCGCTTTAAAAAGCTACAGCTCTGCGCTGTGGTGGTCGTCACAGGACGTGAACTGCTGTCTGTGACGTCACAGCAGAAACTGTCCAGGGTTTTCAGATACTTCACCGGCTCTGCTCTGTCCGCGTGCGCAGGCGCTATGCCTGCCTCCTCCTGCAGGGTCTTTAGTGCCTCTTAGGTTACGTCCACCTGCCCACCTGCTGCTCAGTGTTCCCGCGGGAGTAAGTCCTGGCTTTCCTCTTTCCTGCCTTGGATGGCCTCCCCCTCGTGTTGTGTATTTCACTTCCAACTCCCGGTAGGAACCCTAACTCTGTGTCAGACTCCGTCTCGTACATGTGTAGCCATATTGGTACCCGCTTACTATCTAGTTGCAATCATGATGCTAATTTAAATGTACACAGATGTTGCATGAAGAAAACCATATTCATTCTAAAGACTTTTATGAAGACTTGCATGTTGATCTAAACTTACTGTTTCATTTTAAACTTGCCTATTACCTGTGCTTCCGCTTCTCCTGGCCTTTGACCTTTGGTGATTTCCTGGTTCTCAGATCTCATAGGTAAGAAAAAGAAAGGACTGTTTACGTGATGACTAAACTGTTTCCACTGCGCAGTTTACAAACACTTTCCATGAGCTGTTTTAACCCCATTTATCCACACTTTACAACGAGGAGGTGGAAGCCAAGGGGGGCTCAATGGCTTAGCTGGTGGTGGTGAAAGGGGGGATTTGGCACCAAGAAGCTTGACCTGTTGCTTATGGAGAAGGTGGTGGTCAGTCAGCAGCACGTGTCCACATGCTGCCCAGCACCAGCACTGACTCCAGGCGCTCTGCCCGGTGCAGAGCCGTGGCTGTTAGCGCATTAGGGACCCACGTGCGAGACCCGCTGCTCACCAGGTTCTGAGGAAAGCCGGTCAGACACATAGGCAGTTGCTACAAGACAGAAAGTAGGTAATTGACCGGACAGGATAGTTTGGGAAAATACGTAAGAATAGGTTGTACTTTAAACATTCATGTATTTCTTTGCTCTTTTTGTTTTTAAGGGGGAACGTTTAGATTTTACACTTTTCTTTCAGACCATATTTCACATCCTTCCGCGCCTTGCAGGCCTTGTTGAAGAGGAGTGGATCGCCATCGACAAGTTCGCCAAGTTCACGGACCTTCCCTCAGGGGCAGGGGCTCATCGCTACCTTTCTGCGACGCAGCTGCGCGAGCTGAGGCCGGGGGACTGGGCTCAGCAGGACGCAGGTGAGAGAGTGTTCCCCTGTCCCACCGCGGCCCCCTCAGGCCATGGTTCCCCTGTCCCACTGCGGCCTGCTCAGGCCGTGGCTGCAGTGACAGCAGGCGGCTGATAAAAGCTCTTTCACGAGGCTCCCCGTGGGGAAGAGGCGGTGGAAAGTGGTGTAACTGACGGTACTTTCAGGGGCCTGAGCTTCGCTATGAAAAGCCAGGAACCTCGTCTGCTTCCTTATATGTTACTCTGAAATATCGTTCATATTCAGTTTCCCACTATATATTTCTGTAAAATATAGATTTTAAAAGGGGCCAAATTACGGAATTTCTTGCCCCGTTTAAGAGTGAAGCAGAGAGCTTGGTTCTAGGCCTCGCTGGTTGGCCACCACTTCCCATCGCCTTCCTCCCCGGCTCCCTTAGGACCACCTCCCGCTGCTCGCCCTCAGCCACGCTGCCCTGAGCCATCCACGGGCCGAGCCCCACCATTTTAAAGCCACCACTGACCCCAACAGCTGCGTGCCGAGGTCTGCGTTCTCCTTCCGAACCCCTAACCCCTAGCCACGGCCTCGCTGAACTTCAGGTCTCCCTCTGCCTGGCTCTCCCGGCGCGGGACACTCCGTAGCTCTTTACACTCCATGCCTCCCAGCTGGACTCACCCACCGTCATCCTCGCACGTCGTTACTGTCCTGTCCTTTCGTGAACTGCTTCCCCTGTGGCTCTCGCAGTGACGTGATATGTGCAGAATGTGGGGGACTGGCTGCCGTAGGGGATTCTTCTTTCCTGCCCAGGCTCTCACTCGGGAGAAGCAGACAACCGATCCGAGTGGACTGACGTTCAGAAGAAGGTGATCCCGTGGAGACACGCTGCTCCCGACGCCGACCTGGAGCTGGCCTTTCAGGATCGCGCTGCCAGGCTCGGCAAGGCCATCGGCCGCCTGATCGTCGTGGCCTCCCTCATCGACAAGCCCACCAACTTGGGAGGTAACCGTGGGTCGGGGGCTCGCTTAGACTCTGTCCTGCCAGTGGCCAGTCAGCGCACGGCCGTGTGGGCTGCCTTCCAGGCGTGACCCGCTGGGGGAGGCCGCGGGGCGGGGGACAGTGCGCTCAGCCTCGTGCTGCGGACGGTGATGCCCGCTTGCCCCGCAGGCCTGTGCCGCACCTGCGAGGTGTTCGGGGCGGCAGCGCTGGTGGTCGGCAGCCTTCAGTGCGTCGGGGACAAGCAGTTCCAGCAGCTCAGCGTCTCCGCGGAGCAGTGGCTGCCTCTGGTGGAGGTGGGTGGCAGCAACTCACTGTAGTTCTCCATCTTCGTGTATCGGCCCCTTTGCAGGAATTTACAGTTAAAGGCTGGGGCCTTTAACACTAAAGTAAAATGCGGCCCAATGCTGTTCGGTTCATCATCTGCCACGTGACTGTTTTTAGAAATCAATCATGTAGGATTCCTTTCAGGAAAACATGCCTTGCTGGTATAGGAATCATTTTCATACATTTCTATGCTGTTGGGGAGTTCTTGTTTATAGTGTATAATCTTTTTTAAAAGACGTAAGCTCAGTTTAGTCAGTTTTTAAACTCTGATTTTACTCTTAGCAGGGCCGTGACTGAATGACTGACTTTCTGCTCTTTTAAATGGTGTGAAGGTAAAGCCACCGCAGCTGGCGGGCTACCTGCGGCAGAAGCAGGCGGAGGGCTACACGGTCATCGGTGTGGAGCAGACGGCCCGGAGCACGGCCCTGACCCAGTACTGCTTCCCGGAGAGGTCGCTGCTGCTGCTGGGGTGAGAACCTCCTCGCAGCTCAGCCAGAAGATGGTTCAGAAACCGTAGTTTATCGGACCCTCACACGGCACCTGACACCACCTGGTGCTCATGGAAAGCCCCCCTACCTTTCACTTCATTTCACCTGTGGGGTGCTCAGGGGACCACAGGATTGCCCCATATGCTTTTTGTTCTCATTTTCCTTTCTCCCATTAACCGGCATTTTCTCAGACATTCAGAGTGTTAACATTCAGAATGCCTGAGAAAATACCGGTTATTACAAGGAAAGTGACCTTTCTTCTCCCCTTTTCACCAGAAATGAGCGTGAAGGGATCCCTGCCAACTTGATCCAGCAGCTGGACGTGTGTGTGGAGATCCCTCAACAGGGCATCACCCGCTCGCTCAACGTCCACGTGAGTGGAGCCCTGCTCATCTGGGAATACGCCCGCCAGCAGCAGCTGCGCCGGCGAGGGGGCGCCCAGGCGTGAGGTCCCCGCACGCTGAGAGCTGTCGGTGCTATTCAAACAGTTCAAAAGTATTTGGAAAAATGAAACAAATTCTGAATTTACTGAAATAATGTGTTTTTTCCTTATAACTTAATGCCAAATTTTTTCATGTGCCTTAAACATATTATGTGTTGTCCTCTTTAATAAACATATTTAGCTAAATTGTATTGCTTCTTTAGTAAAATGTTTTAAGCAATCGTGGAGATAAAACTATAGTTTTAAAAGATCATTTCTTTCCTAGAAACTTTTTCTTAGTGAAGTAGGTAGGAATCCAGTGTAGTAGTGAATAGAAGTGAGAGAGGACAGCCTTACCTTGTTACTGATTTTTGGGAAAAATCATTCCTTGTGCCAACACTGAATATATTAGCTAAGCTGTTTGTAGACAGTCTCATTTTAGCTGTCTAGTTTAAGTTCTTCCACTCACCATTTTTTGGTGTGTGCTGCTATTAAAATGGTCACTCCTAGGATACATATGACAACCTGTTTTTTCAGTATCTACAATATTTGCCTAATGCCATCCTCTAACCAAAAAAATAGGTAAATGTATTTTTAAAATAGGCTTTAATTTTCTTCTTAAAATAGATTTCTTACTAAATTAAAACTGAGCATGTTTCATACCATTCTTTCAATTCTCCACTGTCTGATCACTTTCATTATTAAGTCACATATGCGAAGCACTGATGTCTACCAGCTCCCACAGTCCAAGGGGCACTGGGAAATGTCCAGAAAGAAGAGTCTACCTTTCGGAGAGGCCAGGGCAGCCTAGGACTTGGCAGAGGTGTTTGGAGGCTGGAACTGTCCTGCTTCAAATTTCTCTTTAAATTTTAAGTAGTCTCTTCTTTTGTCAAAATACTTTATCTGTTGAGAAAAAGGGGTTTGAAATAAGGTCAGGTTATGCAGCTCGGGTAAACAACAGCACGGATTTAATGGAACAGATTATTCAATATAAATTGTGTAAGTGACCCGAGTCATTTATATTCTGGACCAGTGGTTCTCAACCTTCCTCATGCCGCGACCCTTTAATACAGTTCCTCATGCTGTGGTGACCACAAACACAATATGGAATGATAGATGTGTTTTCCGATGGTCTTAGGCGACCCCTGTGAAAGGGGCGTTTGACCCCCAAAGGGGTCGCAACCCACAGGTTGAGAACCGCTGGTCTAGAACCATTTCACAGGAGTGCATTGATGCATAAACGTCTTGGGAAAAGATGTAGACTAATAAGTCACCTTTTTGGGTTACAGACCCTACTGAGCACTTGAATAAGCAATGAAAATCAATTAGGAAATAAAAAACTACCATGAGACAAATGAACAACTTTTCACAATTTACAGATACAGTAAGAGCAGTTCTAAGAGGGAAGTTCATAGCTATACACCCCAAGAAACAAGAAAAATCCCAAACTAATCTTACAACTAAAGGAACTAGAAAAAGAACCACCACCCCCACAACACCCCCCCACAACAGAAAAAGATCAATGAAACTTAGAGCTGGCTCTTTGAAAAGAAACAAAATTCAAAATTGACAAACCTTTAGCCAAACCCATTAATAAGACCCCAAATAAAATCATAAATGAGAGAAGTGACAAATGATACCACAGAAAATATAAAACGTTAAGGATGCCAACAAATTCAGTTTTTCTAGAAACATATAACCGCCCAGGACTGAACCAGGAAAAAACAGAAAATCTGAACAGACTGTTGACTAGTCATGAAATTAAAGCAGAAATCACAAAAACTCCCAGCAAACAAAAGCCTGGGGCCAGACGACTTCACAGATGAACACCAAACATTTAAAGAATTAATCCCTATCCTTAAACGACTTCAAGAACAATCAGAGAGGAAGGAATGCTTCCTCCTCATCCTAGGAAGCCAGCATTGCTCCGATACCCAAACCAGATAAAGACATGACCCCCCCCGCCCCCCAAATTACAGGCCAATATCCTTGATGCGAAAATACTCAACAAAATATCAGCAAGCTGGACTGGGCAATACCAGACCTACGGCCTGGCCAGTGTGGCCCAGTGGTCGCGGGGACTGGGAGGATAAATGGCAGGTGACGCGTGTGAGATGCGCGGAGCCTGTTAGCTGTGACCAGGGCGCAGGGACGGAGGGAGAGGCCTCCGGTGGCACCGGCCTGTGTGTGGACGGAGAGCAGAGTAAAGAAGCCGCCGGCCGGCTGTACAAACTACCCATGCAGAGCACAGCGCCGCCCCCAAAGCAGGGGGAGGGTCCACAGCCACGGGCTGGAGAGGGCAGTGGGGGTCGGGGGGCCCAGAGCCGCCCTGAAAGCAAGGGCAGGGAGGGTCCACAGCCCCAGGCGGGAGAGGACAGAGGGGGTCGGGGCCTGCAGCGCGCTGACCACGGGCAGCCCAGCGATTCCCGACCGTGCTCATCCACCAGACACCTGCGAGCCCCAGTGCTTTTAAAAGAAGTTTGGGTTCCATTTCCACAAATAGGCGAGGGCTGGGACATAGCTACTGGTTTTTAAAATCCCCACCTGATTCCTCCATGCAGCCTGCGTGGCACATGATGGCCAGACTGTCGGGGATCTCCTGGGAGAATGGGGTGGGTGAAGGTGGGGCCCACCAGCACCCCACTCTTCACCTACGTCACTCCCACCTCCAGGGCCAGGTCCTCCGGTCCTCAGTCCCCTGCTGTGCTCGGTGCTCACATTTGGGGGGGATCAGAGGGAGGGACACATGGTCAGTAATGGTATCAGAGCCTAAAGCAGCGGTTCTCAACCTGTGGGTCGAGACCCCTTTGGCGGTCGAACAACCCTTTCTCAGGGGTCGCCTAAGAGCATCCTGCAGATCAGATATTTACATGACGATTCATAACAGTAGCAACATGACAGTTACGAAGTAGCAACGAAAATAATGTTATGGTTGGGTCACCACATGAGGAGCTGTATTTAAAGGGCCGGGAGGTTGAGAACCACTGGCCCTAAAAGGACTCAGGTGTGATGTCAGCCCAAACTCGTAGTTTTCACCTCCACTGAAGCCAGGAGTTCTCTCAGTGACCTAAGGAGGATCACCGGAAATGCAATTGGGGGCCTAACTCATTATCTAATCCAATCAGCAAGCCCCACACAGGCCAGGTTTCAGCTTAAATGCCAAGTCAGACATGGGATCTTCCTAGTAAGTCCACGAGAGGGGGTGCATCCTGCTGGTTTTATGGACAACGGGGTCCCCCCAACGCCACCTGTGTCCACTGAGTTCACTCCCAGCCTGGCCCCAACAGGACCCGCCCTCCATCACACCCTGTGGTCTCCTTCGAGCCTCAGGCTCCGCTCCAAAAACCAGGTGTGAGACATGAAGACCCTGAAGCCACTCCCACCTCTAAAGCGATCTGTTCTCCAGCCGCCTGGGAGCCGGGGAGCGGCGCATGCGTGAAAGAGCAGACCCATCAGTTCAGACCCGCCAGGCGGCCGCCCTGACCAGCACAGAGCACGTGGCCTCCACGCTGAGCTGCAGCTGCCACCTCCGCGTTGCAGCAACAGCACTCATTTTATTTTTTAAATTAATTTCAGAAAGAGGAAGGGAGAGGGAGAGAATCACTGATCAGCTGCCTCCTGCACGCCCCCCACGGGGGATCGAGCCCACAACCCGGCATGTGCCCTGACCGGGAATCGAACCGTGACCCCAATTCATAGGTCGACGCTCAACCACTGAGCCACACCGGCCAGGCATTAACGAAGGCGCGTCCCCACTTATACGGGATTGCCAATGGGCTCAATGCTGTGTTTCCCGCCCACCGCCCCTCCCTCACCAAGGACCTGCAGGGCAGGGCGGGGACACCTGTCAGGAAGGCCCTGGGGGAAGAACCGGCCCCATGCACATTTCCATTATATGGAGGGTCTGGGTCGCTGTGATTTGGGGGGGCACCTGGGCATGCATTGTTTGTGAGGGCAGCTCCAGGCCCATGAATGGGCCTCCTCCTGCCCCAGATGAAACACTGCCCCGCATGCAGCCCCGGGAGAAGTCTCCCGGTTTAGCGGGTTGGGTTTTGGGGGCCACGTTCACGTCTTCGTTCTGTTTTTCAATGATCCTTCGAGGGTCAGGGGACGTTTCCCAAAGGTCAGCCTGATGCCAGCCAACGGCCTGGCTGACCACACAGGGTGCCCTCTGCTGCTCGGGTCCCTGCGGGGGCCCACACGCCCAGGCCAGCACCTCATCTCGCAGCCCCCAA